AGCATCTCACCCTGGAGATCAGCTCCACCCTTCCCAAGCTTTGGTCCTGACTAGTTTGGGGAAAAAGAGAGGCAGTGGGCTACGCTTCACCGTCAGTGGTGGTCTGCAGCTGCAGGAGGGCTATGCGAGCGCAGGGCAGTTATCCGTGTGTAGCAGTGACTCCCAGGCACTCACTTTTAACCCACTCCTTTGTGGGAGGAACAGCATTGCTCCAAGTTCAGGGGAGATCACACTTGACTCTGCCCCACAGGCCTTCTCCCTGCAGGGAAGGGGACAGGTATGACCACGATGACCCTTGCTGTGTGCTCTCCACACGCAGGTGGCCGAGCAACTCATCAACCCTTTTGGGGAGGATGACGATGACTTTGAAACCAACTGGCTCATCGACAGGAACCTGCAGGTAAGGCGAGCTACTGAGGAGCTACTGGAGAGTCCAGCAGAGGGCTACGAGGATGAGGAGGGGACTGGAGCATCTCTCCTAGGAGGAAAGGCTGAGGGAGCTGGGCTTGTTCAGCCTGGAGAAGAGAAGGCTGAGAGGGGACCTTCGAAATGCCTCTAAATATCTGCAGGGTGGGGGTCAGGAGGACAGAGCCAGACTCTTCAGTGGTGCCCAGCAACAGGACAAGGGGCAATGGGCACAAACTGAAGCAGAGGAAGCTCCAGCTGAACACGAGGAAGAACTTCTCCACTCTGAGGGCAACATACCCCTGGCCCAGGCTGCCCAGAGGGGCTGTGGAGTCTCCTTCTCTGGAGATATTCACCGTCCAGCCTTCTCTGGGTGCCCCTGCTTCAGCAGGGGGTTGGGCTGGGTGACCCACAGAGGTCCCTTCCAGCCCCAAGCATTCTGTGATTCGGTGATTCTGTGAAGGTGAGATCCTCCCGATGAGCCTGACCCACAGAGGAACCTTGAGGCAGGACTGCACCCGGAGGTTTAGCAAGCCCTCTCAGTGCAGTCACGAAGCTCTCCTGCAACCCCGCTGCCGCCCACCTGCCCTGCCTGCAACGGGGAGAAGCAGCCCCTGTTTCCCTTGCGCTTTCCTGAGGTTTTGGTGGCTGCGTGTTCGGAAGGAGCCTAGGATCTCCAGAGGGAGATGGCTAGGAGAGCATAAGGCCTTCCAACAAACATGAGGGTGAAGGGGGCCAGCTCCGCGCTCCCCCTCACCAGCCAAGGAGACATCCCAGGCTCCAAGAAGCATGCGGTGCAATGCCTACGCTGGGAAGACCCCCCACACCAGGGAAGACAGGGCTTCAGGCGTATCTTTGTGCAGAGACCGACTGCAGCTTTAGCCCATGCACACAGGGTAGATCCAGACAGTTTGTTTCACGCCCTTGCTACCTTTCGATGACACATCATTCCTGCTTTTCCCTAGCTTTTTCCACCCTGTGTCTGTATCTAAAACTGCCTCCTCTGCTTCCTTCCACGCAATAACTCTCCACTTTCAGCCCTTCCTAACACTGAGCCCTTCTGTCCTAGCAAGAACATTGCTTTCCTGTCTCCTTCAGCATCGCTTTCCTTCCAATTAAGCAAATCTCGCCGTGTGAAAAACCCAAGCGACAGGAAACCGCAAAGCAAACCCAGCCGCTTGCCTCGCTTCCGGGCTGCGTTGCTCTCTCCTGCCCCGCGTTCCTTTGTCCACCGATAACAGGCACACGTAACGCCGCTCGCCCCGTGTGACGTTTCGGCTGTCCCCCGCAGGTCTCCCTCATGGCAGTGGATGAGATGCATCAGGATTTACCCATTCTGGAGAAGGACCTATACTGGAACGAGCCTGATCCCCAGCCACCCTACACTGCAGCCACTGCTGAGTACAAGCGCCCGTCGTTCCTCGGCTCAACTTTTGATATCAGGTGAGCGCAACCACAGGGTATCAGAACAGTCCACATTTACACCTTGGATCAGGTCTTGTGCAGGATATTATACTTGAGAAGTAAGAGCGAGCAGTAATATCCTTCTCCATAGCCTGTAAAATCTTGCTCTAAGATACTTTTAGGCTTATTTAAAGATGGTAACCAATATCCTCCACAGAAAATTACACCTCTGACCTCTTGCCCCCCTGCCTCTACTACAAGCATCCCCATAGTGGAGACCCTAACACCTATCTAATGGTAATACAGGGAGAGGCTGGCCACTGGCAGCAGCACTGTCTGTGCTGCCGGCCTCTCCACCAGAAACCACCTCCTTTTGTGGCCGTCTAACAGCCCGTTTTGCCTTTCCCCAGCATGCAGAAAGAAGAGATGGAGTTCCAGCCCCTGGAGCAGATTAAAGAGAACGAGGAGGCAAACCACTCCACACCGTTACTGGGACACCTGGGCCGCCTCCTCGGTGTCCAGTCACCAAGCTTCTCCAGGTCCTCTTCCCGGACGAACCTGCTGCGCAGGCGAGGAGACCCCGCATCCCCTTTCTCCCACTACACATACCAAGACATGGGCAAGCCTGGAAGCCCATGCAGCATCAGTCAGCCAAGGGGAGACTCCAGCTCACAGGAGCAGTGGGACAGCGAAGATGGGAAACTAAGGGAGTTTGATGCCTTCATGTCAACCCCATTTTATGAGAGACCTGGTTTCTACAGCGCTCCCCAGACACCGATCAGCTCTATCCCCATGATCTTCCCTTCTAGACGCCAAGGCCGCAAGAAGCCTCCTGCGCTCTCCAGCATCGCCGCATGCTCAACTTCTCTTAAGGATGTCATTGTCAACTCCTCGCCTTCCAGAGCCAGCGATACGTACAAGAGCCAGAGCTCCCTTGGCTCAGGTGCAAAGGAAACATTTATTTGGCCAACAGATCGGAGCAAACGTCCCGACTCGCTGGTTTTAACAAACGAAGAAGAGAAGAGCAACTCTAACAGTAAAAGCAGAGAAGCTGCCACCACAGGAAGTCCAGGAGCTCAGTCCACAGCATCGGACAGCCCTAAATTCCCCTTCTTGGCCGAGTCCCCAGACCATGAGAAGCAGGGTACCTTCAAGAGTCTGAGGAGCTTGAAAGCTTCCCACCCACCCTGGCTATCCCTGGAGAACACAGCATCAGCCACCCCCAATTCCGAGCATTCGAGTGCCTTCCACACCCCCAGTAACAAAACCCCCGGAGGCAGCGCCTCCCTCTGCTTCTCATTCACTCCCGTAACATCTCCAGCGCTGGAGAGATCCCACACAGGGAACGTGGGCCCTGATGCTCGCAGCCTAAGCCTAGAAGACACAGCCAGCACTCCAGACCAGCACCCAGCAGAGGTTTCCAGGACCACAAGAGATACTGGAAACGGAAGCACCAATACTCCTCCTACAAAAGAGCCAAGACGAGCAGAGTCTCCATCCCCCAATGACTCTGGCATCTCCCTAGCTGAAGGTGACTACGTGGGGCTGATGGAAGTGATCATGGAGACCAGCGAAAGCACGTGTGAAGAGCAGATAGATCAGTACAGCTAGAGGAGACCCAGAGCCGCACAGTTCTGTTGAGATACCTGCCATCTTAGCGATACCGCAGCATCTCTACACCTGGCTACACTGGCGCTCACCCGAACAGAAGGGCAGCGCAGCCAAGCCACCTACTGCTGGAAGGTGCAGCTAGAGCCCAGCACTAACGAGACGCTGCTACTGGCCTCAGGCACAGCAGCAGGCACAAATTCAGTGTTGTAACAAAAACAAAGCAGACAAACCCCCCACTTCTCGTGTGGCAAAAGGCCAAGACTTGGAGCATTAAGCATTGCAGCTACCTAACAGCAGGGCAACAGCCTGGCAGGCACCAGCCTGAAGAACCTGGAGCGCAGGTGTAGCCCAAACCAGAAGAGAATCACAGAATCACAGAATAGTAGGGGTTGGAAGGGACCTCTGTGGGTCATCTAGTCCAACCCCCCCGCCGAAGCAGGGTAAATATAGTCAATAAGGATACCTCCCCCCTCCTCATCCCAGCAAGAATCAGAACTTGAGCTTTACATCAACATTTGTCACAAGACCCATCACAAGTCTCATGCACTACTGACAATACTCCAGGGGAAGCATGGGGCCAAAGCAAGTCACATCATTTGTGACGCAGATCCATAGGGCTTCCTGAAGTCACCTCCAGCTGGTGGTTCCCAGTACTGGAAAAGTCATGGGATAACAGCAGGGCAAGTTTCCACTAGAACAGTGTGGCTGCAGTCAACAGCATTTGCCCAGCACCCTGCTTCCTTCTGAGGCTCCACACCACACGTGCCACTGATTTCACAGTGCTCAGAGACAAAGTCATCTGGATGGTAGCAGAGACCATACACCTATGAGTTTTTGCTGTCTTCCCTAAGAAAATAAAAGCAAGGCTGAAGTCCCAGACCATCCATTTCATTTCCTCATTTTAGTTTCCATACAACAATAGAATTTAGAAAAACCACAAAAGTTCTCCTAAATCTTCAGAAACAGCTGCCAATCTCCCATATCACAGGGCACACGTGACTGATTTACCTCCCACATCCCTTCCAACGCCTTCACAACAGCTTCCCACCCCCTCTGCCTTCCAAGTACAACTGCTAGACCCAGGCAGGTGTCACCACACCCCTCCCCCGCAGCTCCCGACACAGTGTCACTGAGGCAGTTCCTGCAGCACTGCTGTTTCAGTCCAGCCCCATTACAGTCCACACCTCCAGAGTCTTGACTCACAGGATATTTTCTCCATAAAAGTGTAGCTCCATTCATCTGATAGGCATGATGCCTAGCGAGGCGCTAGCCTCCTCTCCCCCTTCAGCAGCCCCATCTAAAGCCACAAGGACCAATTCAGGAAGCCCAGATATTAAGGCCTTCCTTTCCCTGCACATTCACTACAGAAACAGCTTTGGTGGCAAAGACACTTAAAACACTTTCATCACTGATAAATTCCTGCAGTAGATCCCACTGCATTAGAAAAAACCTACTCAAGTAAAACCTGATCCTTCCAGTACATTCCTTCATCCATGCTCAAGTTAAGATGGCTGTCACAGAGACCACGGAGCACAATCCTGCAAGCACAGGCCTCTCGCTCCCAAGAGAAACAGAAAAAGCCAACTTGAACCAAGTCACTTTATTGGATGGAGGGCAATACACAAAACACAAGAGAAGAGAGGGGTGATATTTGGTACAGAGTATGAGAACTGTTTATCTAGATAGCTGAAGATGCATGCATGGCTGGACAGTAAAGTAGGAGTCCCACTGAAACCCACAGGGTGGCTTTTTGGCAAGACTTCAGCTCTCATTGTCACTGTCCCCGAGAGTGTGCTTGTCAAAGAGGTACTCTGCCATGCCGTATTTTGGTGCCCCCATCTTCCGCAGGTTGGTCACATGGTCACCCAGCTCTTTGATGGATTTCACCTGCTCATCCAGGTAGTGAGTCTCAATGAAGTCACACAACTGAAAGGGAGACAGCAGAGTTTAAATTCAGGCCCGAACACAGCTTACCCTGCTGAAGCAGCATCTGAAATCCTACCAATCCTCTCTAGGGAAAGGAGAGGATACAGAGAATGACAACTTTAAAGCTGCTGAAGATACCCAAGAGGAAGAAGTCTTTAGTTTTGTGTCAGCAATGTCAGAGCAAGACCATGGTGAGGCAGGCTCATCAGGCACACTTGCCCCAGAACCCTGCAGTACCCTGCCAGCTCAGGAAGCCTCCCCTCTTCCTCACTACAGGAAGCAACAGGAAAGGCTCTGAAGAGATTCAGAAGCCCCCACTGCACAGCACTGATTCATGACCATGAGGATTTACACCTATAGAACGGTCCAGCTGTGCTGATTTTTCTTAAAAAAAGTCCCTCTAATTTATGCAAGACACTTCCAAGAGTACTTTGATTCAGACACCTGCTGATCTCTTTCTGGTACTAAGAAGTCTCAATCCAGCCTTGCCAGTAACCTCCATCTGTGAAGAGGCCTGTGTTTTCAAGCACAGTATTCCGAAGGGTCAGTCAGGGCTTTTAACATTCAGAAGAAGCAACTGCAAAATTTTAGGCCAAAAGCCTTCCAGGCATCCATTGGTTTGAGGCTGGAGCTCTTCCCCCACGGAAACAAGCCCTCTCCATAGAGCTTAATACATTTCTCCTTTTCAAGATTTCACGTGACAGCAACAGATGGGTTTGAACAGAGCAATGCGCCCACCCTTCTGTAAGGCAGGCCTCAGCCACCCTACCACACTGCAACTGCTCCTCCTGGAAAGAGATGGCAATAACCCTGCCAAGCTGCTAAGGTACAGGCTGACACCCGCACCCTTCGCTTTGGAAAGGCTGCACCATCAGTTCTCACCCTTTTTTCCACCTTTAGGAATGGCACCGACACTTAACTCACCCCCAAACCCACACAATTAGACACACACAGGCCCCCTCATTGCACAGCTACACTCTCAGCTTCAGCAGCCACTTACGTGTGGGTCATTCTTTTCAGTTGCCAACTTGTGCAGCTCTAACAGTGACTGGTTCACATTCTTCTCCAGGTGCAGAGCACACTCCATTGCAGTCAGTCCATTCTCCCAGTCATCACGGTCAGGCTTCTAGCAGGGGAAAGCACACAACCATATTTTCTGTAAGTACCTCCAGACTATCAGGGAGCAAAGTCTTTTAGATCACTCTCAAAGCCTCTTTAGACCAAGTTGAGGCATTTAGGCATCTTCAAAAGCTCGGTGCACACAGAGCACACACTGAACAGAACTGTATGCATGCTCCAAGACCCAGACCTGTCCCCATTCCCCAGGTTCCCCTCATGTTGTGTTCTCTGAGCTCTTGTCAGCAAGACAGAGCCACCGTCTTCCCCCTTCCATTATAACCTAATGACTTAAACATTTGCCTGCATAAGCAGGCAACGGGCACAATCTCAGAAATGACGCAGTTCAGACACCAGTACAGGCAAGTCCAGTCTTCAGCTCAGAACTGCTGAATATAGACACTGGTGGCTACAAGTACTCAGACTTACTAGTCAGCAGGGGAATTCTCAAGCACCCACCACTTTGCTGATTTCCCCATGAAAAGTTGCCTTGCATTAAACTGGCCCTATGACATTGTCTTCTTGAAGTCACTTTGACTAGATTACTCAGAACAGCAGACAGTAAGCAATGCTGTGAAATCTTGCAGTGAGCCACAACATGCAACTGGAAACTCTGAGATTTCCTATTCCCATGGCAAGCAAGTTAAAAGTTCTTATACAGTGTAGAGAACACTTGCCATTAACTTTAGGGTAGATGAACCAGTTGGATTGTAGTTACCCTCACCCCAAAGTAAGCCACCAAGGGCTAGACATACTCTTCTTAGATAGGAAGTACTTTTTATTAGTCATTCAGCACCAATTATCAAATTACTATGCATCTCTAGATTTCAGGCCGAGTGCCACACCGATCACAGCAATGCTGTATGCTTATCTACTGTCAGCTGCTGCTCCTTCTGGGAGAGGACCACAGGGAAACTCCTCCCCTTCCAGGCCGGAGACAGACCACAAGTCTAGCTCTGTGCTAGGCAGTACAACCCATAGCTCCACTCCTCACCTTGATGTCCTGCAAGAAGATGCGTCCGCCCCTCTGATTCTGCAGTTTCATCAGTTTCTCCGCATGCTCACGTTCTTCGTGGGACTGATGCCGGAAGTACTTGGCAAAGTTCTTCAGAGCCACATCATCCCGGTCAAAATAGTAGGACTGAAAAACAAGAACTCACATGCTCAAAAACCCAAGCCTCACTTCAGCAGCCACACAAAGCCAAGTCCGTGCTGTGACTTCAGATGTGTCTCCTATCAGCCCTACTTCAGGACAGCTGGAGTCCAAGCTAAGGCTAGCAGCAGCACTGACAACAGCAAGGCAGCGCAGCAAAACTCTTCCCTTAGAAGCAAGTTAGATTTTCCTGACTAGGATTAGTTTTTAACCTGTATCCCTACCATGAACACAAGGGACAAATAAATGGTATTTACGGTTCAGTTCTGAAGATACAAAAAAACCCACACCCCAAAGATAACTGTTCTTCTGAGCACTACTCAAATGCCTTAAGCACAGCAGACTTAAACTTTTTTCAAGGAGGAAGTCTTCCCTGCTCCCTTTGTTTGCCTGAGTTTGTTTACAGCGATCACAAATCAAGGTTCTGACCTGCAACAGCAGTTAAGCACAGCCAAGAACTTTAAGGTACTTGTGCAATAAAGGTCCCACGCTTCAGTAGGCTTATCAGGGATTAGGCTAAGTACACTTTCTACTTTTGGGAAGAAAGTCAGGATCACATTTAAAGGACAAGAGATAAACTGAACTAAAATATGTATTTAACAGCAAATACAAGATCATCTTTTCTGAAAGCCCAAAAAACTGCAACAGCCATTAGAAGCCATCATACAGCTTGTTTGTTCTTTGGGCAGAGCCATTAGTCAGGATTCAATGGCAAGCTTTGTATCAACTGCCAGTTATTTACCACACAAACTACTACAGAACTCTCTGCTCTTAAACCCGCAGCTTGGAGGTTCAAGGCAAGACACTGCTGCTTGTGTCCCACTGCCACCCACCAACACAATTACAATTAGCTTGTAGCTGAGGTTCAAACCTTCGTAGTAACACAGCAGCAAGCTGTGAAGTTTTACACCTACAGGGCACAACATACTACAGTGCCACTAGAAAGTCTAGAGTTACCCGCACATCTAAAGCGCCGAGATTGCTGCACAGAGGTCAAAGCCGCTGTTTGGACCAAAGTTACTCATCTCAGCTATAGCTAAAATGGGAGTCTCAATGCCAAGTGAGACGTGTAAGCACAGCACCAAGGGAACCACGGATTCTTACCAATTCACTCAAAAAAACAACCCACCCTATGGACGAAAAACCTCGCCTCAGACAAGCACGCCCGTGGGAAAGCTGCCAATCGCTTCGTTAGTCAACTCCTGCCATCCTGCCCAGCCCCAAGGGCACAGCCGCCTGGGAGCCGCTGAGCTACGCTGATAACCAGCCCGCCAAGGGCAACGGCCGGAGAGCGGTTACCGCCGAGATAAAGGCCTCACCTACGGGCACCGAGCGGCCTCCCCACCCCCGGGGGGCCGAGAACAGCCCGGAGGCGGCGGGG